TAAAGAGTGAATGTTTGTGGTTACCAAAACATGGAAAACCATTTTGGTTTTGTAATAAAATATATGTAACTTCCTCTAAACAGTACAGTAAAACTTTGATCTTCAGTTTATGAGGACAAGCGGGTAAAACAAAAAGTGTCGTTAAATGTGAAAGCATATCCTAGTTAACTGTTTGGTCCAAGTATCATTACGAGTGTGCAATAATGAACTGCCATAATTCCTGTGTAGTGATATGAAACACAAAGTGGAGAGATATGCAGCTGGCTAATCTCAAAGTTTGCTGAAACCTTTAAGCAGACCCTTGTTTCCTCAAGTGCAATTGAGCATTCACATGGAAAAATATCAATGCATTATGAAATTAAAAGACGTTTTGTCGACACGTAATGTAATGAAGGCATCACCGTTTTACGGCCATCGCCCTGGTGCGAACAGAGTCCACACCAATGAAATGGTTGTGTGGGTTTTGATAAAGCTGGCTCTTCTTGGCCAAAGCCGCCGCTGCCGCCGCCACCGCCGCCGTCGCCATCATCCAAACTGCCTTTTGAACCTCAGGCACTTCTCCTCACGTCACCTCACCAGTAGCTGTGAGGTCCAGAACCATGAGATCGATGTTTTATGTCCCCAGAGTGCATCCATACTTGGCACACATGTATTGTAGAGTTGGGTGCTTGAGACAGAGGAGAGGGGCCGGTGGTGTTAAAACATGAGAGTCCCCATCTGTTCAGAAGATCCCTCATGTCCTGCCCCTCCTGGTTCATGATCAGTTAAATCCATTTATCAGGCCTTAGTTGCAGCGTCCCTCCTGTTTGCTGCTGTGTGTGGTCCTGCTGCAAATATAAGGCTCTCAATCTAGAGCTCTTGATCTGTTTCTCTTTCATTCCTCTGGACAGATGGGCAGAGGTTCAGATGTTCACATGAAGGAGTGTTCTGCTGGAGGCCCGTAAGAGAAACCCGGGAAGGCTCCGGCTGCTTCCTTGATGCTGCTCGTCACAGTCAGGGTGTCGTTGCACAGGGAGGAGGACACGGGCAGGTGGGTGAACTCGGGGTCAAAGTGTTGCAGGTCTGTGGGACCAGACTGTGAAACAAACCAGGAGATGATCATTGTTATGCACAATATCACTGTATTGTAACTGATTCATCATTTATCACGCAAACATCTGATTCCAGTGTCTGAAATATGAAGATTTGATGCTGCTCTGTGTTTTTTTTATGATTGTGGAGCAGATTAGTCAGTTTGAAGAACAGTAGAAAATTATAATGCAACAAATGACCGGTTCCAGCCTTTTAAATGTTTATTTTTTGTGAACTTTCCCATGATTGTAAACTAAACATTTTCGGGGTTTGGACTGTTGAACTGATGAAACATGACAACCCAATTTATTTGGACTATTAGTTTGACTGATGAGGGCTCTGGAAAAGGATAAAATTGAACGTACCACTGAGGGGACAAATGGAGGTGTGATCTTCTTGGCCATCAGGTCATCCCAGTTGATTGGAGAAAAGAAGGAATGGTACTTGAGCTCAAGCTGGAGGGAAAGAGAAATTCCAGATGAGCATACTGATAGAAAACAAGCTTTGTGGATCTCTTACTTTTCATTTAGATAAGATTCAGCTGTGTGCACTTACAAAGTCATCCTTGACTCCCAGCCTCTTGGTGCGGTCCTTCTGCAGGAGCCCCTCCAGCAGTTCCCTGCCTGCGTTCGACACATTGGGCTTGAGCACAGGCGCCTTATGCAGGATGTTGTTGTACATCTCCGCTGTGTTGCGACTGTAGAAAGGAGGCTGCAAAGCAAAAGCAATGACAGACGAGTGAGTTTAATTTGTATATAAACCAAATAGAGGTGATGTCCGTTCACAGGCATATACATTTCACTTACAAGTCCGTAGAGCATCTCATACAGCACTGATCCCAGGCACCACCAGTCAACTGTGCGGTCATACGCCTGCTTCTGGAGAACCTCAGGGGCTAAGTACTGTGAGGAGAGCAGCAAAAAGAAGTCAATGCAAGTCCAGCATTTATAAAATGTCCTCAGTTGTCAGTGTGTGACAGTCTAGAGATTCAGTTTGTACCTCAGGTGTCCCGCAGAAGGTTGTCGTGGTACCATTGGCCTCTAGGCCTTCTTTGCAGAGACCGAAGTCTGTCAGGACAATATGGCCCTGCGAGTCTAACAGGATGTTCTCAGGCTTCAGGTCCCTGTGCAGGACAAAAAGGGAAGGATCATTAAATGCATCTATGTTATTATGCCATTCCAACCTATGCTTACAGTTGTCCACTAGGGGGTGCTGTATGATTGATCATTACCTGTACACGATGTGCAGGGAGTGGAGGTACCCGAGCGCACTTGCAATTTCAGCAGCGTAAAACCTGGCTCTGGGCTCCAGGAAGATCCTCTCCCTCTGGAGATGGTAGAACAGCTGGAGAGAAAACAAAACATCTGTCAGTGTGAACTTCAAACACTGGGACCATCTGAGCTTATTCAGTTTTTGTGGATTGCGGCTCACCTCTCCACCGTTGACGTAGTCCAGCACAAAGTACAGTTTGTCAGTAGTCTGGAAAGAGTAGTGCAGTCCCACCAGGAAGGGATGTTTGATGTTCTTCATCAGCACACTGCGCTCAGCCATGATATGCTTTTGCTAAGAGGAGGAGGAATAAGATATATTATACTGTTTATTCATCTCATTAACATAGAACACAAGAAAGTTAAATGTAGGTACATTTAAGATATTTAATCCTAAATGAAGGCTCTTACCTCTTTCTTCTTCATAATGATTTTCTTCTGCAGCACTTTGACAGCGTAGTATTGGGTGGACTCTTTGTGTCGAGCCAGCAGAACCTGGAACAGGACAAACATTTGCATCAGTGATTACATTAGCAACCATGAACGGATGATTGGTACAGCCTTTGGAGGTCTGGATGCATACAGTATGAGCAGACAAGAGTAGATACCGAAAAGAAAGAAGGACAGAGATCTTACCTTTCCAAAGCTGCCTTTGCCGATGATTTTGAGGTAGTCAAAATCACAGGGTTTGATTCTAATGTGGAGAAACAAACAGAAAATTTAAAATTTTGCTTTTTATTTCTCAACAGAAAACGTCATTGTCAAAACATTCTTTACATTAAAGAGGTCTTATCAGGCTACTTACTGAGTTTCCTCAGCCAGTGAACTTCGTGAATTTAGGCACATCTGGATAAAATAAAAAGAGGGAAATTATAAATACACTGCAGTGTTTTGGAATGAGAATGAGTCACATAGTCAGTATGAAGTTTCCGCTTACAGCACTTTGAAGAAGTTCATTTTCCAACTCTTCGTTTTGATTCTCATCAATCTTCAGGAGACTGTTCACCTCGACACTGAAAAACAAACAAAGCATAGTTTTGAGATGAATAACATCTTTTACGTCACGGCTTCAGCTTTAACATTTCCTGATTCAGGGCGGATGATTGCATTTTAACGCTGCAATGAACGCTTCCCTTCTGGTTTGTGAATGACTGTCTGAAACCTCCAGACAGGTCGGGTTTAGGAAAGGCTCATCTGCATGTAACTACCTAACCTGTCTGCAGAACAGCTTAAGCTGCTGACCCACAACAAGCAGGTTAACACAGCTCTGCTGGACTCAGCGGTCCAGCTCTGAGGGCCTCTCTCTCCTGGAACACATACCGGGACAGATGCTGTTCCTTAGGTTTTTTTGTTTTTTTTCAGTACCCAGATCTTGACCTGGAGGACAGGCCCGTGAGTTCAGGACAGTGTGACGGGCCGAGCCGTGTATCATGTAATAATTGAATAACTGGTTTATCCTCGTCCAGGGGACAGAGGGGATTTGCTGGAGAGGTGATTATCCAGTTGGAGCAGTTGTTAACTGGCTCGTCATAAAAGCACTATTCTTACCCTGGCTTCTTGGACCCAGATTATAGGTTTCACAGGATGTCCTTCCAAACTCAGGCAGCTGATTGGATTTGCACAATGCACACTGACCATGAGTGGGCTAATGATCACAAATTAATACTACAGCCCATGATGCTGCATATGGCCCTAATCTGACATTTTTACATGACGGCACATCGCTTTTATTGGAAGAACTTACTGCTGGCAGATATGTGGGGTAGACACCAGCTTCTGGATGAAGTCATTCAGCCCCATTTTTCTCTCCTTGATGAAAGCTGCAAATAGAGGGAGACAAAAACATGAGCATCACACGCGCAGCATCAGTCATCACACAGGGTTTCAAAGATTTCTGTTTCCCACCAGAAAAGAAAAATTCATGCTGTGAGCTGTAATCCGCTGTCCCAAATATCCTGGTATAGGCTAGATTTGCGTGTTGTACAGAGACCTCTAATGCTGCAGGCTTATGGGTTATGCAACCACTTGGGTCACTCATTCAGATTCCGACAGTGGTGGCCAACAAAGCATCTAACATTCTGGATTATTCTTACAATGCAAATCACCAGTTTTTGTTCATTTCAAGCAGCTTTCCCAGCAGTGACAGCGTAAAGCGATTTATCCACAACATTTATCCAAAGAATTTCAAAGAAGTAAAACAAAAAAAGCTCTTTGCAATCAGGTTTACTCACTAAGCAGCATATATAAAATAAATAGTCATCCTTTAGTTAGGTTTCCTGATGAATGCACAGCGTTAACCCTCTTTATTATTATCACTGTGTTAAATGGGTCGCTCACCAGCGAGAACGGTTACGATCCCCCTCATTTTGCAGTAAGTTAAATCACATCCAGCTTCGGTCACGGCCATGATGAGCGATAAGTAAATATCCGGTGGAAAGAGAAAGGACGAAAACACAAGAGTAGCTCCTGAGCACTTCTTCTCTGACCGTCAGTCAAACGCGTCGTGACCGCTCCAGACGCGCAAAGACCAAAACCCCCGAGCGCGTTCCGCTGCGCAATGCTGCTGGAGACGGTGCGCACCAGCCAGTGCCTTTATACCAAACACGTGGTTCGAGGGAGACCACACCTCCTCCCTGCCTCCCTCCCTTCTTCCGATCCTCCTTTTCTCTCTCTCTTCATCACTGTAACCACGACAACCACTTCGGGGGCGTGACGTCACGGGATTCCGCTGCAGACATACTGTGCCTGCAGGAGGAGAGGGATGACGCAGAGGAGGAGGAGGCTGTATGTGTGTGTGTGTGTGTAGGAGGGAGGGGGGCTCCTTCACACTCCCACCTCCTCATCTCCTGTCAATGGAAAAGTCCAGCTCACTGTAATAGCCGGGCACACAAAGGGACTATGTCTCTTTTTATGGCAGAGGACAAAGAACTGCACAATGTTGCCAAATCTCCCTCCCTCTCTTTTATTTTACTCTTCTCTCAATTTGTTTTGTTTTGAAAGGATGCAGAGAGATGTGTGTCACGACTCGTGCTTTTCAGCCCCCCCCCCCCCTTCAACAGCCACCATTTCTCCCTCCAAACACCCACATAAAGGTTAAAAAACTGCATGAGAACTAATGCACTAATCCACTACCTACATAAATCCATTTGGTTTCCAGAAACCATTAAATACTGGGTTTCCGTGACGGATGAGGTCAGGATCGTGAAGGTGACATGGAACGACCGTATTACATAAATTCAGAGAAACTGCACATGACATCATGCTCATCTAAGCTTCGGGAGTGATCGGAGCAGATGTCAGAGAGACGTGGTCCACTAACCCCCTTACATAACTGTGCCATAATGCAGACAGCTATACCGCCCAAGGACGAGAGTGATCCACATATCAATTGTGTTAGTGATTTTTCAGCACTGGTGGTTATTTGGCTTCTCTTGACGTGTTGTTGGATAACACTTAACCACTTGCAGTAAGCGTTCGGTCCTTTTGAGACCCAAACATGTTTATTTACAAAACCAGATCCACATCTGAGAAGCTGAAACCAGAAAACATTTCGCATTTAGCTTAAAAGACTAAGAAAATCATTCAATAATTAAATACTACTTCTACTTTCCCTTACAGGAAGGATCTGAGTACTTCTTCCTCCTCCACTCTTCTCATAAACATCTGCCTCAGAGATTCGTTCATGTGTTTGTCAGAAACTTCTGGGTTTTGTCCCGTCTCTGACATGTCACATGCAGTAATAATTTAAAGGAAGTGAGACTCCACAGAACTGGTAGTTCTGGTACTGCGAAAAGAGGAAGTCTAATACCTTATCTGTGGCGTAGGCTCAAACAAAAACTAGCTGTTGCGGAGCCAACTTGTGGCGTATCGTGTTGTACCTGAGTAAACACTCTGAGGTCAGCCTCAGCTCCGTTTACACAGAGACACAGCAGATCGATAACACGACCCCGACACCTCTCAGGCTTTGTGTGAGGCGTCTTCCTCCCCTCATGAAGTCTCTCTCTGAATTATTCATGCGTATCATGTTCTCATCTCTAGTGACTTGTGGGAAGATAAACATGACAAGGGCCGTTCCCTTCAGCAGTGCTTGCTCTCGGTCGCTTCTCATTGATTTGCATTCTCTCTGATGTGATGCGTCAAGCTTGTGATGGAAAAGTCAAGTGCAGAGCAAACAGGTGGTTAAAGCAGCATTTTCCTTTTGGTGACGCATGGATCATTTATCAATCAAACAACAATGCTGATGATAATTGTTCAACTAGCAAATGATTTTTAAGCTCTCGCCTCTCGTGCTGATAAATTAGGGATTTACTGTCCGGCAGAAAGTTTTAGGTGGATCCCTACAAATGAACTGAACATGCATTAGAGACGCCATCACTCAGTTTCTCTTAATAAATGTCTCCCCAGTGCCAGAGCTGTCAGGTGACAGATTCATCGGGTTTATTTAGCGCCTTCACAGAAGCTGCCCTGCTTCACAGAATCAGGGCATCGCTCTGTCAGTCATGTGAGTGAGTGTGAGAATCACTTCTACTCGCCCACAAGTAAGAGTGTGAATCACCTGTCAGCTGCAGCTCTGGCACCGGATCTGAAGAAGTGGCAGATGCAGGGATTTTATTTTCACTTTCTTTAACATTGTGAAATGGGGTTTTCTCAGGGAGTAATTAATAGATCTTAAAGAAAACAACCAGGCACATTTAGACTCAGGAAGTATGTGCTCTACTGGGTTGTCTCAGAAAGTCCAAGTTGCCATAAATTATTATAATCTTGATCTTTCTGTTAAACATCAGCAAAATGTATAAATATGCCTGATTTGGTGTTAAAATACAAAATACTACAGCAGCAAAGTGTTAAAAGATGTTCTGTTTTTTTTTTTAAAGATTTTTTTATGTAAGGAAATTAGATGTGAAGCTGGGTGACTCTAATGTGAGGGTGAAAATGAGAGGCTCGGCATGGTGCTAATCGAACACAGCTACCTGCTTACCTCCAGTGTAGTGAGTGGGAGGCAGCAGAAGGATAAATGAGTACAAGTAAACGGTTCCTCTGTGACCAGCTGCAGGCTCATGGGGACGGGGTCTGTAATTACACTGTAGGTCTTAGTGATCTTACTGAGGAGTGATCATGGCCTTCACACCCACGCAGTCATGCTAATGTCATCAGCCTCTGCTCTCTGCCAGAATCTGATCTCCCTGCAGTTCCTCTCTCCACGTTGAGCCTGCCGCCTGCATCGGTCTCTCACGTACTGCTGGCACACTATTCATACAGAGAACCGCAGAGATGCAGACCAGTCCGACTCCGTGGCAGTGCAGACTCAGGCCTTAATGAGGAGGAGCAGATTTTTTAGTTAGAATTACAGCACCTTTGTTTCCCTCCTTAATTCTCAGGCAGAAGACGAGATGTTTTATTTGTTCTGTTCTCCACTGGGATTTGATGGCTCCTCATGTGCCTGCTTCACCAAATAGGAAAGAGGATGTTTGTTCTCTTGTGTGATGCACACTGCTGCCCAATCATTCTATAATATTTGAATTTACTGCCATGTAATTGTAGCTGGTTCTACATATTAACAGCCATAAAACTGACTTCTATTAATGCTATAATAACCATTACTCTGGTATTAGTGCCAGTCTACAGTGTGTTTGCTCTGTTGGTGATGATTGCACTGCTGTTTGTGACTGTGCAGCAGGTTTCCTGTGTGGGTGACTGAAACTTTACAGTTCAGTAAAAAGGAAGCAGATAAGAAAACAGAACCTGAGTCTCATTCACCAAGTGCAGTTTCCATGTCAGCCAGACATGAGTCAGTCAACGGCACTGACTTCTGTTAGTGAATTATTTTAATGGCTCCTGTGTGAAGCAACTAGCCCCTGGACGTATTGAAAAGAAATACAACCTGTGGCCCCATGTTATGAGCCTGCTCACTGAATTTCAACGTCACACAGGCCAGCCTTAACAAACCTAACTCACTAGCAAGGCCACCACCAAGTTATCGATTGGATCCAGTTCATGGTTTGTTTTTACAGTCTCGCTAATCCAGCGTAAACCTCATGAGGTCAGTTATCTCTTAGAGATATTCATCTGGAAAACATCCGCTGAAAATCAGTCAACCTTGGCAGCTGGAAACCGAACCAATAACTAACTTCATTAACTGTGTGTGAAGTGATTTAAATGATGACGACGAGTGGAATTATTTTACTTTTTTGCAGCTTCATATCTCCAGAACAATCATTAAAAAGAATCAGGCATGTTTGTGTGACTGCATCGCTTATTGGCACTTCATATTCATCCAGGAAATAATTTCAGATAAATTTGGAATGAATTTCTCAAACGGCCGGTTTCCCTTTAAAGCGGAAATGAAAGCTCAGCGAGCTGTGCGTTTATTAATTTATCAGCAGGTTACTGGTCTGATCCGATCACCTGCAGGGTCATTTTTGTCCACCACCGCTCATGATGCCTCTAATCCACAAAATACTCGCTGAGCATTTCCAGAGCACAGAGTGAAGTTAAGTTTATGTTTCTGTGAGGCTACAATATGTGCCTATATGGATATCAGACAGTCTTAAAGGGATTTACTAACTGCTTGTGTCTGTACAGTGCAAAGGTAATATCATCTGACTACCTGCACCCAAAAGAGAATAGCTATAGCTTCATATTTCGCAAACTGACACGAGAGTGGTATCGATGTCCTCATCTAGTTCCCAGCAAGAAAGGATAGTAGAAATGTAGGAACTATTGAAAGGGCAAATTTGGTTTTCGGTGTTTTCTTTCTTGTAGCTTTGCATTTTCTTATCAGCATCTTCGGAAGCTGAAATTGATTTTCCGACTATCACTGAACACAGGAATCATCCAGATCTTTCAGTCCTGGTTACAAAGTCGAGGCCCTGGAGCTGCTTTTATCCTCTCAGCTGACAAACGAGATGAGAAGCAGAGGAGCTGCAATGTGGAGGCGAGAGGCTCTGGGCTTTGCATTGTAAAAATTAACCAGACAATAAGCGAACAGACAGAGAGACACAGGGGGATGATGCGTCTGAATCCAGTCATGCCGTTGCTCGTGTTGCCAAAAAGCTTTGTTATAAGCCGAGCCAATGACGTCAAAGCAAGCGGAGGGAATGCAAAAAGGAGGAGGGGAATGAGCCATCGTTAATAAACAGTCATAAACATACGAGAGCCATGATGGAACAGAAAAGAAAGGATGCTGCTTAGGGGGCAAAGAGGAGAAGTTGCACCACGTCTCAAAGGTGCATCCTGCTCTGCTGTGCCTACGAGAGGCTGCACATTAATCCCCTCACATCTCATAACACACGTAAAGGAGCACCTACCGATGAAGGATTTCTTGCCGGTCTTCATGTCCCCCTCTGTGTTTGATTATATTTGCTATCGAATCTCTGATGAATGAACGCCTGTCTGCTGCAGAGCGTTCAGGTGCATGTGACAAAGATGCAGTCCTCCTGTGCCTCCCTCTTCCCCTCTTCCTTCTCTCTGGTAAGAAAAGTCTTTGATTCTCGTGCAAAAATCACTTTTTGCACTTCCCTCTGCCGTTCCTTCCTCCTCTCGTCTCGGCTGTGCTGAGACCAAATAGCTGAAACCAA